TCTATTTAAGAAACAAGCTTGGTAAATTCCCCGGGATAAACTTGGAATCGTAGAAAAAATATGACGTCTTCACTATCGTGTAGCTAAACTTGCTTTTATTTGTAAGATGACATGTACTAAATGAGTCGGTGTTATTGTCCCTGTTTTAACGGCGGTCCGCTTGTGGTAAGGTGGAAAGCAATATTTTGATTGCTTAATGCAGATTAAAGAGACTTACGAAGACTTAAATCAAGGACTTGACGTACCACGGCGTAAGGCGATTTCAGGATGTATATATAGATTTGGCGATATACGATTAGCCGATTAGCCGATTGCTAAATGAATTGAATGAAAATGCCTCACATTTATTCATATAAATTTGACGCACAAAATTTTTATTTGATCAGAGACAGGAGATGGTACATGAAATTATGAGACGTATTTACATCAGCTATGCTGCTCAGAAAAATGTTGACTTCAGTTACTTATTATGGTAGCCCGAACCTGTTTACATGCATGTTGGCTATGTTTTTGAATCGTGTTTGTCGGCAGGAACGACTTAACCGATTTCTAGAAGTTCTTTAATCTTGCCCCGCATTCAGAATAAGTTTTTCTTCTTGTGGTGCGAATTGTATTAACCGTAGCTTTCTGATTACTCAGTTTCTTACAATAAAACTTTAGGTAAGAATACCCTGCAGATACATGTAGGAGATAGTCCCCCGATCCATCGGCGCTGACTTCCTCTAATTGTGCAGGGTCAACTTTCAGAAACGCGTTAGCGTAGCATTTAAAGGTTAAAATTGACTAGCATTTTTTTTTCAGCGAGTTGTATGGTCACGATTGACTTCAAACTTGTAGATATAAAACTAGACAGCTTTGAGGGTTATTGCTGAAGTTAGAGAAAAATCTGTCGTAAGGTTTCATCGAAGTTATTTAATACATTTTTTTGTGAAAAAGGGGTTTCTAATATACACAGATATCCGGAACGTTTTTATACCTACAAGAAAATAAATGACGTTTTCTATAAGTTCCACCATTCTTTACTTAAAATGCCAAAAATCGTACTGAGAAATTGGTTAAATCGTTCCTGCCCAGAAACGTGATTCAAAAACATAGCCAACAGGCAAATGAATGTATAGGTTCAGGCCACCTTAATTGAAATAAGGAAGAGCACATCAGGTTAAACGATGCTTTATTCCCGGGGTTGCCCCTGGAAAACACTGGTCGGGTGTGCAGTACTGGCGTATTTCAGACCTGATCCGTTGTTCTCAAGAGTTTCGGCCCATGCGCGTGCATCAAGGAGATTGAGACACTGGATAGTGATCTGTTCCTTATGTTTGACATGACAAGGAATCAGGGATGCAAAAAAGCCTGGAGTTAGTCCTTACTCTGTCGAAAAACGCAAACAGTGCACGATTTCTGTTTTGTCCGTTCCCCTAAATCGTTTTCGACTATTGGTTCGTTAAAGCCTTGAAAAAGACTGTAAAGTAAAAGACAAACATTAAAGTTTCCTATCTGTGAGAATGTTCAGGGTAATATATTGCTGCTAGCTGATTGATAATAATATAATTATGTTTCATATTTAAATATTTGAACAAATATGCAATAATCTTGATGTTCAGTTTTCATTAACATCACTAGAGGTATGTTTACTTAAAGCAGTATTTCATTGTTATTATTACCCTCTGCAAGTTAATTTAAAACTTACAACGCCATAAACACACTTATCAGGTTAGTTACAACTAACCGTTCAGCTTTCAAGGTGAAGGCCAAGATCATAATTATACCTTTTGGTTACCTTCAAACCTCAACTTGTCTCGCAAAGAAGTTAGGCCGTCGCGCTACCTTCCAAAAGGGACGATTGCATTTACTGTCACATCACCTACTACGTTTGTTTTAGAAAGGGAAACTTACGGGGACTGATAATTGATGAATGAGTTAAAATTGATTTTTCTACGTCATACCACTAAAAAAAACGACTTGCGAGTACAATCACTCCTTGTTAAATTTTCGTGAAAGTAGCGTCGCAACTGATTAACAAAATTGCGAGGTAAGTTGCTGAAAAATTTCATAGATTGAAGTGTAACAGAGCCCTTGTTAATGCCCTGTTCTGGTATCTGTACAGCTTCTATTCCAAGATAGGCAATTTGTTCAATTCTGGTTCACTTAGGTCCATGTTTGGATAAAGACTTCTTTTAACTTTTGCCTCATACTTTAGACCTTGGCTGAAGGTTAAGACAGGTTCAATATCTGATTCTATACAAAACTTTAAACTGAGTTATTTGGAGGCCGTGGCGTGAAGAACAATTTAAAGACGCGGTTGTTAGTAGGGACGGTTTGTGATATGTTAAATGGCATGAAAAAAAAAGGAATCACATTTTTGTCTGAGCTCCGTAGCTAATATTTATTTTTGCAACACAAAACCACCTCGGTTTTCTTGGGTACCGTCACAATACATCGCGTGCAGTTCGCGTTTACAGCGGGGCACTCAGTTTTTAGTCAAAACATGAACCGTTAGCTTCTTACACGCAAGCAATCAGCTCTGAAACTCTGCTGAAACCGGCTCTTAACCACGATGAAGTTTAGATTAACCCCTTGCTCTTGGAGAAACAATGGACTCGAGAAGAAGGGCGAACTTGCTTTGTCAACATATTGTTAAATCAACAACTTCATAGGAGTTTCTAAGTCCCTTTTTAGCCATTAAAGTTCGTGAAAGAGTTGAAACTTCGAATCGCTTTATCAACAATTGGATCATCTCGAATTGCGGGGATTATCAAATTATAATGTAAGTCTCTTTTCGGCCTCGTGCAATATCTATTTTGGTAAAAAAAAGGATAAGGCTGATTTGGTTTCCAAAATAAACAGATAAACTGCTGTGTGATAATTGCGCTTGGTAGATTAAGGATTATAGGGTCGTCGCACGTTATGCGTCGGTTGCACAAAGCATACCTTATACCCGGGAATACACGAAACCACTCTCTCAAGATTCCGTACACCAAATGAGAGAAATTCAGATGGGGTCCTCACTCAATACTTCGGCAACCGCACTCGAAAATCGTACGGAAAAATCAGATGAAACTTAGAACAATTTAAAATTAAAGCTTCTTTGCGAATGAACCAGCATCAGGTTGCTTTCCGAGTTGACAGAACCTCTGAGTTTTGAAATGCTCTATAAAAACGCGATTTTCACCTATCGTTCACTTTTAGACGGATCTCCAAAGTTGATGATTTTAAAACAAGCAAGGTCTTTCATTGCCTTTCTCTAATTATTTTCTCGTTTTTGGTATCAAGCCAATAGCACGACAGTCTTACCAAACGTAGCCTTGAATAGATCACGTGTCCTTAGCCTAAACCAGTTAAACCAGTTATGGTGCCGTGATGATAAAGTCTCAGAAGTTAGATGATAAAGTGTTTTTTTTCTTTTTTTGCAATGGTATTTTTGTTAAGAATAAATACCGCATGCTCTAGTTTCACTGCAATATTCCATTGAAGAATCATGTTGTCTAATATCGAGTTTTTTTTTCGTCGCGGATTTGTCATCGAGATTTTCAATGAGCAGTACGTACTGAAGTTGCAAGTGATTTAATATTTGAACAAGCATTAGGGGCTTCGCTTGAGGAACCGAGTCACCTGTGCTGTATCAGATTCGGGTAGATGGGGTTCTTTATTCGTGGCCGAAATCCATCTAGAAGAAGAATTATACCCGATCCTAAGCCAGGCTTCATGAGGGTCGGGTTCCTCCAGGCTTTTAAATCACAGCCATTTCTCAGCCCATACCGGGTCGGTCGTCGCCCGGGTCAACAAGTGCCGCACCGTCCGCTGCTTGGGCAGTAGTTGGAAAAGCATAGGACTAGTATAACAACTACCAAGATGCGTGCCAGATGTAATATCTTTATTGGCAAGTGGAACCTGGGAACCTTGCAAATGGCAGGCAAAAAAAAAAAATTGGAAGAATCAACACATAAAATGAGCAGGTACCGCTGGAAAAATCCACTCATGCAGGGGGTTATAAATTAAACTTCAGTGGCAAGGAGGACTGACACGAACAACAGGGAGTTGGATTTTGATGGACACGAGGACACGAGAACACTTTCATGGGCTGTCGTTTAGTCTTACCGACTCCCTTTTACATCTTTCCGTAGAGAATTATGACCGATGCATAGCACGATCACAAAGAAACGGTAAGCATAAGAGGCAGAACAATCACCAAGTTACGTTTTGCCGATTAAATTGAATGGCCTTCCAGGAAATAATGAGGAAGTAGCTTCTCTGGGGGATCGCCTGAAAAAGACGTTTTCCCGTAGATAGTGGTTATCCACTATTTGAATAATTGAAACCCAACGGATAAGTGATTGTCCAGGATACAACCTGCCCCTTATCAAAGCGTGTTTCGTTATTTTGGTGAAATTGAAAAAAAAACGCAATACTTGTATTTCTCCGATCTTCACAAAACATGCATGCACTATCAAATGTAAATTTCTAAATAGCACAATTCGTTAACAGTTTCAATTCTTTATTGCTTATAGACACTGGTAATAACAAATAGTTCAACAAGAGTACATATAGTTGATTCGATTGTTTTTTGTTTTTGTTTTTCATTCATTCTCGTTTTTTCTTTCTGTGCTGAATATAAGCACTTCCTACCAAGAAAATGACCTACATTTACGTCGAGAGCCAGTAATATAATGGTCTGGGGTAACCAGGCACGGTATTATGGGCCTGTTGGCAGGACTGTACTGCTATGAATTGAAGATTAGACAGGCCAGGCCTGACGAAAATTAGTAACATGACTGTCTTGTAACTGTAACGTCCGCTGGGATACGGTATGTAATATTAGATTAAGATATGTTACAACGTGCTTATAGCTCTACCATGGCCTGCGGCTTCGTTAGGTAAAGGTATGTTATGAATACCATTGCAATGTACTATAATAGTTTCTTTCTGGTACTTACAATAGAAGCCGTTGGCGTCAGTGCTAAGTCTGTGTTAGCTGCTGTGTGTAAGACATTCTACTGAGTTAATTACTTTTTACAAACAAAATGATTTGTACCAGTACAAGGTGCGTCGTTCCATTGGCCAGGGTTCGGACTTTTGTACATTGCTATACACTGCTCGTGGCTACCACCGTTAGGTTCGCCGGACTTCCATCTTGTATAACTTCCCCAAGCTATTCCGTCCTCCCACACCCAGACGCCATCCACGGCTAAGTCATTTGCGCCTACCCATATGTTACTTCCGTCCTCAGGGATGAGTGAGTGTGCAAAGTCATTTTCTGCTTGTGAGTGAATGGTCAGCAACTTTGAATTCAAGCTACTGCAATACGTTTTGGCGTCTTGCCAGGTTTTTATGATTGCAATATATTTGTAGCAATAACTGTTGAACATCACCCATCCGTCATTCACATCACATTCTGTAAAATCAAAGTCAGTTAAAGTGAATGAATAAGTAATCAGGGTAGGTAATATTTTCACCTAGTTTTTTTGTAGTAAAAGCCTTCCACCATCCACTCTAGTGCGTCAATATATGTTATATTTTTATAGGCACTGTAGCCTGTACTAGGCACTAAGATAGTGGGGACGCCTCGAAAACACGGTCAATGGAAAATAGGACCCGCCTGATCCGCCTACTCGCTACCCAGCCCCGCGCGTTTTCGCATCAGTTTTCATGATATCTGCACATTACTGTCTTGGAGCCTGAACATTTATTGAGCGAATAAATTCGGTTTTGTGGCAGAAAAAACCATTAGAAAATGTTACCAATAGGCTAAAGAGACAAAACTAAATAAAGATAAGAAAGAACACACTTCAAACTAGATTTCATATGATTTTTTAATGCTTCTTAAACGGAATGGCGCAAATTCTGGTTTCCTGATGTGAATGAGTAAGCGCCCAAAAACGTTTGATAGTAACTTACGTTCTCAAAAAATGTCGTGTAACTGCCAATAATAATGCCATGCGTCCGTCCAACACTTTCAAAGCTCAAATTATAAGCATGGAAAAATAATGAAAGCAGACTCTAGACTACTATGAGTAAATTAAACTACCCTCTTTTCCAAATACATTTTGTAGCTCCAAAGCTGCTCCGAAAAGCAGACTTACCGATGCTGCAGTTTTTACCCCGGTATCCGACTACGCATGTGCAGCTGTAGTCATTTAATCCGTGTGTGCATGTTGCCCCATTTACACAAGGGTTTGGGGAGCATTCATCAAAATCTGAATAAAAGCAGACAGGAGTTGATGAATCGATGAAATTCTTTTTTCGTTTTATTGGTAATCCTTGATACTATTATCACTCTAATTAAATGATTACCCCTGAACTGAGACAACATGACACTGAACTGATCATGAGTCACTCCAGTTTTCGAGATGTCGTATGAGATAGGATTCAAAAGCACATAAAGTCACGATAGATCAGTAAATAACAAAATAATAATAATAATAATAATAATAATAATAATAATAATAATAATAATAATAATAACAATGATATTAATAAAGTAATATGGTAGAAACCCTCTTTTCCTCCCAAAGTCCATGGTTTGGACTCGGATGTCGAGAGAAAATCAATCGCAATTATATCTTATATTATAATAATAATAATAATAATAATAATAATAATAATAATAATAATAATAATAATAATAGCAATAATTAACAATAATAATAACAATAATAATAATAATAATAAAACACAAAAAAACAACTTTACGTCTCCAGCTCCAGTCTAGTGTAATCTATAACTTATTTTAAATCAAAAATCAGTATTAATTTTTGGACCAGATACTTACTTTCGTCACTCATTCACCCAATGCGTTAGTGAGGGACGTTAAATCACTAACTAAAGGAGAACGTTTTGCGAAGCTAAGGGGCGGAAAAAAGATCTAGCACTGAAAAAAAAAACCTCATTGGATATAATGCTGGAAAAAGACCAAACCAAATCACTCATACCCCCCCCCCCTTCCCCCCCCCAACCCCCCTTAGATTGAAAAGTAAAATGGTCGACCCCTAACAAACGGAAAACTCTGTGAATAAAGTGAACTTTAAAGTGACTTTCACGACTGTACCAATTATTTTCATCTACATTTGTGATCGAATTGCTCTTTACGCTATCAAGCTTCCTACAGTAAATCCTGTACTTTGTTAATTTTATTTTTGTTTGTTTGTTTGTTTTTTACATGTTGTAAGATATTAAGAAATAAAGAGGGACAACCACCCACACAAAAAAAGATCTTCGCTTTCGTTGATTTTACAATTAATTAAAGTATAAGGGTTTAACAGAAAGAAAAAACCCTTTTCTAGGAACCAACAAATTGCTTGCCATTATAAAATGCAAGAAAGAATGGTGGAATAGATATTGAGTCATTTACTAGGGTTGAATGCGTGCAAATTTAATGATAACTCCCTGATCTAGGACGGCGATTATGTCTATTCAATTTCGTTCCAAAGTCTGCGTTACCGTTGGCCAACGGAACGGGCGACGGGTATCTCTGGGATAATCCGGTTCAACTCGATTTTTCATTGGGTGAGCATCTGAGCATGAGCAGTAGAGCCAGAGGTCAAAATGTAAATAAAAATGGAGGAAAAGACAGCGCGGAAGGGACTATCAAGTTGTTTGCAAGCTTGGTCAATCAAACATTTTTCTCTTGAACGCCAATCTGAAGCCTGGCAAAGCCTATGCTTATTCTATCTAAGCGTAAGCGATATGCTTTAGCAACAAGGCACACAAGATAAAGCATATCTCAATCAAATCAGTCTGCGGAAACAAACATGACATTTACTTGCAATGGAGCACTCGATAAAGACTGTCTGCTCGATGTGATTGCAAGGTTTGTAAAGTAAATAAGCTAGGCTGATGCAAAACATTTTTCGTTTACTTTTTTCTGACTACTGGTAAGGTGAAGAAATGTCAACGAGATGCCCCTTTCAAAGTGGTAGAAATCCCGAACTTTGTCAAAGAATTGAAAAACGTTGAAATAGCGATAGAAGAGTGAGATTGTTTTGAGATTGATTTTCTTTTTCATTTTTTTTTTAACCTCTTTTTGTGATGGATATGATTCCTTTTATATCATTTGTATGTTCTTTATATTAAGCGGACGTGTCAAGAAGCAAAAGCAGGGGACTTATTATCCCATTTAAAAACAATAAGCAATGTATTACTTTTTATGTAAGTATTAAACTGGCACTTCTACAAAGACTAGCTGGTGATTTTTGCCAGTCATCTGCTTTTGGTGGGCAACTGGGTGCAGCAATTAAAATTTTTTAGCTTTTTTTTTTTTTTTTTTTTAGTAAAATCCCCCCCCTTGGGTCTAAAAAATTTTTAAAATTTAATAAAATATTTCCCTCTTTTTTCAACAAAACCCCTTTCTCGGCCGTTTTTTTTTTTACCCCAAGAAAAACCTCTAAAACCACAAAGGAAAACCACTCTTTCCCTCTTTTTGATTGTTTTTTTTTTTCTATTTTAAAATATTATTTTTTTTTTTTTTTTTTTTTTTAGTATTAAACTGGTACTTGTAAAAAAACTAGCTGGTGATTTTTTACAATCATTTTCTTTTTGTTGTCAACTTGGTGTTTTAATTAAAATTTTTTTGCTTTTTTTTTTTTTTTTTTTTTCAGTCAAATCCCCACCCTTGGGACTAGAAAATTGTTCAAATCTAATAAAATATCTCCCTCTGTGTTCAACAAAACCGCTGTCTCGGCCGTGTTTGTTGTTACCGCAAGAAAAACCTCTAAATACACAAAGGTCAACCATTTCTTGCCATCTTTTGCGATGTTGGCCCTTTTTCCTTCCTTCTTTAGCGAAACTTCGAAAGGCCATGGGGTATTCATCACTTTTTTTGCCAAATCAATAAACCAGCTGAATATGACCTCGCATCAATAGGTTCCAACGTTTCAGGTAGTTGATCAGTATAACAACAGCATAAATAACTGATATTTTGAACCGAATCAGGAAAATAGCTCAATAAATAAGGGCCGTTGTGCAGCTCCTCCGTAATTCCGTATGTCCTAATCTCCCAAAAGAAAACTGGATCGTTTCATGAAATCTTAGTTTCTTTGTTAGTTTTTTGCTCTTAAATTGGTTCACGCCTGTGCAAATGAGACGAAACCAAGAATCTTGTCAAGGGAAAATGGATTATTCCCGAGGTCCCCATTACCTGTTCCGCTGGACAAGGGTAACGCGGACTCTGGGAAGGAGCTTGGAGTCTATTAGGAAAGTTGATCGATCTTATGTACTTACTGATTTCACACGACTTCCCTACAGTTCCAGCTGGGCATGCGCAGGAGTAGTCATCAAGTCCATCTGTGCAGGTTCCGTCGTATTGGCACGGGCTGGAAGCACAATCGTCTGGATCTTACAAAAAGAAACACAATTGAAAATATAAGGCTAAAATGGAAGGTCAAGGACGCGATTTAGCACAGTTTACAATTGCAAATTAAAGAGAACCTTTAACTGTTAAATCACAAAAAGAGATTTTTTTCATCTGTTGACTATGCCTCGCTATGACGCACTGAATCATGAAAGAGAGTCTTCTGGAAGTCAACCAGTCCACCGGAAATTGTTTCCGCATGATCTGCATGGTTTGAAAAAAAACTTTTTTTTTCGCAAGTAGATATCCCAACCAACGCCCCTTAAGACTCCTACTCTGTCCTATTATGATCACACCTACTCTCTTTGATTTGAAGGTATCTTATCTTCACATTGTATGATCTCTCTTGGTATCATACACGACACCACACGGAGTTTCTTGTGGTTGAGACACAAGTCGCAAGAATTGATTGAAAAAGAAAAAAACAAGGCCAATCCAAGATATCAAAAGTCAATTGCAGATCTGAAATCTAGTTTATTTCTTTGGTCCTAACATTTTCGCAACAACGAGACGAATGTTTATTACACAAATAGAAATTTACGTAATCTAGAAAGTCAACTATTACTAGAATGACCAGAAACACTGGCCTGAGAACTATCAGCACCTTATTTGATCACAAACGCCAACACGAAATCATGCTTTCGCCAACCACATCTGCATAATACTTTTTTACTCAAAAAGCGCGGAGAACTTATTAGATTTCTTGACTTGTCGATAACGGCGGCTATTTACTACGAACTTATACGTAATCCGTTTCTATTTCTTTGAAGGCAGGCTAAATGTTTTATGTTGCCAGAACCCTTTCATTGATTCATCCTTGTATACCTAAGGTACAGTCATTGTAACTGGTAACAGCATACAGCGAGACTGAAAAGAGCACAGGCCTTAAAGAAAGACTACGCAGACAATTCGAAAAAATGTCTTTTAACGCACCGAAAGTTATATTAAGATTAGTTTCAAAGCATATGTTTTTTTTCTACATCCAACTAAACAAAAATATCAGTTGTGCAATAACAATGTCAAAAAACAAAACACTAAAAATAAAAATAATAATAATAATTATAACGATTCTATTAGCAATACTTCCACGAGGTGGCTCTTCTCCTACTAATGCCGATACTAATGCAGATATAGCCCTTCTTCGGGAGCTGGGGAAGAGGGGTTTGGGGGAAAGCATAAGTACAAGTAACTGGAGATATTTTAATGTGTACACGTGTTTTACTTACTAATGGTACAGTGTCTTCCGTAAAAGCCGACTACGCATATGCAAGTGTAGTTGTTTACTTGGTCTTCACATGTTGCACCGTTGCTACATGGATACGGTGTACAGTCATCAATGTCTAAACGAGGAAAGAGATGAAGTTAAGCATCTAAGCCAATGAAGCACCTAAAAAGCCGTTTTGCAGAGATCGCTCGCCTAGGTCGAAAGCTCTTCGTCTTTGTTATGTAACCTTTAAGTTTCGCTCTATATTGAGTATTCTACACTCTCTGCCTAGATTGTGAATAAGTAAAAAAAAACTGGAGTTAAGTGACTAATTCAAAACAGTGTTCAAGCAGAATAAAATACTGATAAAACTCTCTTCAGGTTTCTGTGGGATGTGAGGCAGACAAAATATTGATATAATTATTTAGACTTATCCCGATCTCGATTGTGAAACCCCAGCATATAAAGTTAACTTAACCCTCGGACGTACAGGGCCGCGGGGAAGGGGAGGTAGGGCACCCGCCGCTCAAGGTTTTACTGGTTTTTTTTTGTGTGTGTGTTTTGTTTTTTGTTCCTAGACGATAAACCATCAGCGCCTGAAATTTACCGTAGCTGTTTGTTTGTCCCTCGAGCGCATTTTGAGATAAGTTTAGTAATGGTCAGTTGCTATGGTTACGAGATATGACGTCATAAGTAGCAGGTAGTCAAACTATTTTTGAGTGACAATGTATGGTTTTCCAACTTTTTTCGGGAATAAGATAACATGATGCAAAGTAATTATTATGTGTTATTTTACACGTTAAGCGCAAAAAATTATTTATTCTCACTGTTTTTACCTGATTTCTAATTCTTGATAAAATCCAAGATGGCGGTCAAGATGGAGACCATGTTTGGAAACGCTACAGACCTCCAGCAGCGCCACCACCCATAAAATATACCTCATGTTGTAGAGAAGATCAAAGGCTTTCCACTGAAGGTAAAATCGTTTCGAAATATTGAAACATATCAAAAGCTGAAGGGGGGTCCTTCAACCCCCCCTCCCCTCTAGCACGGTGGGGGTATGACCGCGTGTACGTTCAAGGGTTAAACTTCAGTAAAGAAGGACAAATTTTTGTATTCCTAAGAACTAGTGAACAATATGGAAATGTATCAGTTGTGTTGCTTACTTATCTCACAGTTTTTCCCCGTCAGTCCTGTTTTGCAATCACACTTATGACTATCCTCGTCATATACAGGAGTGCATACACCTCCGTTTTGGCAGGGTCTCTTCAAACAAGGGGTCTGTAAAATAAACCAAGACCTACAGTAATATGAACACTGTTTTATTTTATTTATTTATTTCTCTCTTTCTTTCTTCTTTTGTATGTTTATTCTGAGTTTCATTTTGATTTACTTGAACTATTTTTTATTATCATTTTGTTGTTTAAATTTAGTTTTGATATTGCGCGGGCAATATATTATCACATATTGTTCATTCAAAATATTTCCCAGTTTCTGATTTGCTCAGTCCCACGGCTAGTTCTTCATTAAACAAACTGGTGCTAACCAATTGTTTAGAAAATGCGAGCAATATATACCATCGTTTCGATAGTATATTTGGAATCGAGTTGGATCGATCGATGATATGGTTCCCTAGAAACGGGGCTGCCTGAGCAAAACTGAACTAAAAAATGGCGTTCTCGGCTATCCGAAGATTTTTTCTGGACTACAACCGAACGGAATTAATGCAAGAATACCAAAACACATTGCTGTATGGATGCTATCTACTTTTTGAGGAGTTAATCTTCAAGAAAAAAACAACATCTCTGTTTCTATCCTAAAACCTTGCTGAGAAACGGGCCAAAGATCTGAAAAAAGTTACGAGGTGGTAACGCTTGTTAAGAGATAAGAAATGTTTTGAACAAATAAAAATATATGTTATTGTCAGCTTTAGTATGATGTGAAGAATTGAATGCCGATCCCGTAGCCTGTTATCTACCTTTGCCCTCGGCCTTGATGGATAACATACTCCTCGATCTGCATAATTCTACATCATTCATATCCCACTCAGCCTCATTCACCATTGTCAATTACTATACCGCACTTGATATATAAATACACCCCAATAATAACAATTTTAAAAATAACAACTAAGGTCAAACTGTGAAAGGAGATGTTTTGCAAGTTACCAATCACATTTGTTTTCCAATTAAGTTCGGAAGTCTTTTAGATAAGACAAGTATTGTTTCAAGAAAACGGTAAATTAAAAACTTCTTGCGGGCGGCTAGTGTTCTCTGCGTTGGTGATGAATGTAATTAGGAAAACATATCTAAAGTGACAAATAACTGAAATAACCGTGAAAGTAAACAATAGGCCAGTTAATAAATTTTGCGGCAGGGAGCCTTAGGTAAGTGAATATACGGCTTTTAAGTCATCCCTCTATGTAACCCTCACTTGTTGATACTTAAAAAGGCAAATTGATTAATAATTAATTCGGTTTATCAGAAATTTGAGATAAAACAGAAACTCACCAGAACAACTCAATTTTCCAAAAAAAAAATTTCTTTGCAAAATTTTCCGTTCTAATGGCTGTTTCATCGACATCAGTTTTCTTGAATGGTTCTCTCTAAAATAATTCTCTTTCCTGAGAAATGTTTCCGGCAATCTCCCTGCCATTCGTTCTAGAACCTTTAGAACGTTTAGGAAAGTTCGGTCAAATGAAAAGGGAAAGGAAGCACTGGCTTAATTTGAACAGAATCTAATCTCAGTCCTCTCTACGGTTCCGCCTGTTTTCAGTTTGTAGTGGACTTACCAGTTTAGAGTAGTGGTGAGACAGTGCGTTTTCCCTGAGGTTTACTGAGTTGTTGTACATATCACCTAGTAGTAACTCGCACCAGAAAATCTCCTCTTCGTCTGGAGAAGTAGCCATATTCAAAGATAAACATGTTGGGAATAACTTCAAGCATTCCATGGCGCAGTCTGCAAAGTCGCTCGCGTTGAGTACCATTAGTTTTGATGTTTCAAGATAGTGCCACTTGTGTTCCACAAAGCCAGACATTCGAGCTGACGTGAAGGTATCAATATTAACCTCTATTGCTTCGCCGAGAATGCCAAAATAAAAGCAGCCATTCAGCAAAATGGCTAAACTACGCATCCCTCAATTTCGGAAGAGCCAATTGCATCTACAGTACGAATCTTGACTTTCCAGACTTGAATTTTCCCGTTCAATTATATCTGCCAGCTAACTCAATTAAATTGTTATCTGACTTCATAATTCACTTCTCTTATGGAGTTCATTAATTATATTTATTATTCATTCAAAATATTTCCCCGATTCTGATTGGCTAAAACCACACGCATAATTCACCGTAACCAGCTACTGATGACCAAATTTGGAAGAATTTTGCGTTTAATAACCGATGGCGTCAAAAATGCAGCTTTCTTGCCTTCAACCGAGAGGACCTGGGGACGAGGCTGAGTTGTTTTGGTTGTGAAAACAAAAATGGCGGACATTTCTCTCGTTTCAAGAATAAGAACTAGGCTAAATAATGGCTAAAAATATGGCAAGAACAGCAAGAAGACAACTCTAAGGGCGACATCTGCTATTTAGAGAATATTTGCGGAGCTGAACAACCCTAAACGTGCACTATGAGTTTATCGAAGATGATCTTGACATCGATGGTAAGCATGTTTTAGCTATGTTTTTAAACAAGGAATTATTTTAAATGAATAATAAAACAATTATTGAATTCGGCTTGGTAAAATGGGGTTGACAGACCTGCGCGGCTCCTGCTGTGTGACCGTTGTGTTGTTATAAGCCTTTACAGTTTTGCTTTAACAAGCATGTCTTTAAGCGACTTTCCTTTTCTATAAGAGATCAAGGGAGGTTCCTTGAATATCTCTCTGAGTAGTGGCTGGTTTTCTATTAAATGCCATTTTTCCATTAGTATGTTTTTCAAACCTGGTAATGACGGTTGAAATTGCGTGACAAAGGGTAAAAGTATTTTTTGCGCTTTCTGTTTTTGTGTCAGAGCTGTCGCTCTATCTGCATATTTAACTTCTGAGAGGATCTTTTCTACCATACTCTCTGGGTAGCCTCTCGAGATAAGGCGTGTTTTAAAGTTTTTAATATTCTTGTCAAATATGACTTTAGAAGAGTTAGTTCTTAGAAGTCTAAGAGCCTCTCCTTTGACAAAACCTTTTTTAACGCCTGGTGGGTGGCAACTGTTAAAGTTAGTGTACTGAAACGTTTCAGTAGATTTAAAATGTGTGCGCACGTCGAGAATTCTTTCTTTCTCAAATCTCTCTCCCTTATAGACTGTCGTGTCCAAGAATGTGGTTTCAATTTGTGATATTTCAGCAGTGAACTTGATTGTAGGATGAAAAGAATTGGCTTGCTCAATGAAAAGATCTATATCTTCTTTGTTTGTGTCCCACAAAGAGAATATGTCGTCAATAAACCTTTTCCACGTTAGTGGTTTCCTTCTGCTTTGTTTTAAGATCTCCTTTTCTATTGTTGCCATAAAAATGTTGGCAAAAGCTACTGCCATTTTCGTGCCCATAGCAGTTCCGTGAGTCTGGAGATAGTCTTTCCCATTGAAATGGAAAGAGTTCTCTTTAAGGATAAGACTGAGCATTTCTTTAAGCAGGTGTGTAGCTATAGGAGGGTTTTTGTCATGAAATTTTTCGTATGCGTTGCATACTATAGTAATTCCTTCCTCCTGTGGGATATTCGTGTAAAGGCTGGTGACATCCATTGAGACTAAGAAAGCGTTACTAGGCACCCTAGTGTTTTCGATAAATCTTATAAAATGTGTCGTATCTTTAAGATACGAGTCTTGTATTTGTGCTATTGGCTGAAGTAGCTTGTCTACAAATGATGAGAGGCGTTCTGTGGGGCCATCGCACCCCGAAATGATAGGTCTTCCAACTAAAGTCGGTTTGTGTATTTTTGTGAGAGTGTAGAATACTGGAATTCGTGGCGGATCTGGTGTCTGGTTAAACCATTTTACTGTCATTTCGTCAATGAAACCTTCGTTATGTAGAGTGTTAATGAGGTGTTTAACTCTCTGGGATGTGTCCTTAACCATTGGTTTTTCCAAAGGTTGATAGTTGTTTCTATCATCCAACTGTTTTTGTCCCTCATTTATTTTGTTCTCTCTTTTCATTATGACGGTTGTTGTGCCTTTATCTGCTTTCTTAAGGATTATTTCTTTGTTTTGAATAAGTTCACGGAGCGCTCGGCGCTCCCCAGGCGGCAGATTGTTTTTAGGTTTATTTAGTGGCACTTCTGTTAGCCGTAGTTTGACTTCCTCTAAATAGGATTCTAGAGCAACTGACCGTTGAACTGGGGGAATCCAACTAGACTTCACATGGAAGGGGTGTGGTACAGTATCTTTGCCATGATAAATGTATTTGAGGCGCATCCTTCTGGCAAATTGGTTAAAGTCTGAAATTAGTTGGCTCCTTATCTGGTTTTCTTTCATGACAGGAGTTGGAATGAATTTCAAACCCCGAGAGAGTAAATTGATCTGCTCTGTTGTTAGTTCTGTGTCTGAGAGGTTCTTAATGTGTTTTTTGCGTGTCTCTATGGCTTCGTTATATAGCTTAATGTGTTTGACATTTTTCCGCTTTCTTCTCCTGTGATTTCTTTCAGTGAGTGTTTTACTATTTATCCCCTTCTCTTTTCCCTTGTTAGAAACAGAGAGAACACTGGGATACGATTCACTTTGTTTATTCTCAATATCAGTAAACTTTGACATCATTTGTGAGAACTTGTCGAACTTAGCTTGGAGGTCTGATGCTAACTTAATTACATCAGTGCTTTTCATTACATTGTTTTCTCTAGTCGCCGATGGCGTCTTATGCTCTCTAGTTTGAACAACATTGGTCGCTTTCCTGAAGTGAGGCTTATCCTTCTCAACCTTTTTTCGTTTGTTCTGAAGACGATCAATGCGTCTTTGGTGAAACTTCGCTAACGAGTGAATGAACTCTTGTTCGGCAGTTTTTCTAATCGAGCCTATTTCTCGTTTAAATTCTTCGTCTGGCGTGATATTTGCACGCACGTT